GTGAGCACTTCTCCTTTGCCGAGATAATCCATCCCACCTCACAGGTGTGGCATATCAAGATGCTGATTAGACAGCATGATTATTGCTGGCCACAATAAAAGGCAACTCTGAAACGTGCAGTTTTGCTTTATTGGGGGGGTCTGGGGGGGTCCGAAAACCCTAGGGTTAAACCCTAAACCCTAACCCTAACATGTCACCCATTGAGCATGTTTGGGATGCTCTGGATCGGCGTATACGACAGCGTGTTCCAGTTCCTACCAATATCCAGCAACTTCGCACAGCCATTGAAGAGGAGTGGACCAACATTCCACAGGCCACAATCAACAACCTGATCAACTCTACGCGAAGGAGATGGGTGACATGTTAGGGTTAGGGTTAAACCCTAACCCTAACATGTCACCCATTGAGCATGTTTGGGATGCTCTGGATCGGCGTATACGACAGCGTGTTCCAGTTCCTACCAATATCCAGCAACTTCGCACAGCCATTGAAGAGGAGTGGACCAACATTCCACAGGCCACAATCAACAACCTGATCAACTCTATGCGAAGGAGATGTGTTGCACTGCGTGAGGCAAATGGTGGTCACACCAGATACTGACTGGTTTTCGGACCCACCCAGACCCCCCCAATAAAGCAAAACCGCATGTTTCAGAGTGGCCTTTTATTGTGGCCAATCAGCATCTTGATATGCCACACCTGTGAGGTGGGATGGATTATCTCGGCAAAGGAGAAGTGCTCACTATCACAGATTTTTTCAGATTTGTGAACAATATTTGAGAGAAATGGTTATTTTGTGTATATAGAAAATGTTTTAGATGTTTGAGTTCATCTCATGAAAAATGGGAGCAAAAACAAAAGTGTTGCATTTATATTTTTGTTCAGTGTAGTTTGTTTTAAGATGTTTTAAGCATCTCCCTGTTGCCTTTGCCACTTTCCCTTTTATGTGCCTCCTCTCTTTGTGTAGTTGTCATGCAGTAAGTGTTTAGTAATTATTATTAATTTATCTTGAATGTGACCACTCCCCTTGTTTGACCATAAATGTGGCAGACTCTCAGCAGGGAGTAGAGGGAGGGGAAAATAGGGGAGGGAAAACCAGGGGAGGGAGAGATGGGGACTGAGCTTTTCCTGTCTGATATTCAGATGTAATTCAGGAACGAGTGTATTCTATTGACCATGTACTACTTCCCTCCAGTATGTGTTTCTAGAGTATGAATGCTCAAACATAGCACAGATGTCATAAACACACGCACAGGTTTAGGCACACATGCCCCTGCTGCCGGATAATATAGCAGCATGCAAATGAAATATCCAAATTCTTCATGTTGTTTTCATAATTTCAATCTTTATTTATTTATTTTTGCTAAGCAGAATTACATTTTAACGTACAACATGACCAAAAGCTACTGAATACTATAAATCCTTGCTAAATGTAAAAGTTTGTGAAACACAGTTCATTATTTTAAGTAGCTGCTACAGAATGAGGAGAATATCAAATACACTGTCTAGTACATCTAGTCAAAGAATAATGAATTTAAAGGCTCGGTTCATCCAAATTAACATATAGACACATTTTATCAAATAATAATATAACATGACTGCATTTGTAATGCTGTGAAAGCAGAAATCTAAGTCGGTAACGTTGATAACTTCATGCAATACTAGAAACGTGAGAAATAGTTTTTAAGTATTTTCGGTGAGCTGAGCCTTACTCAATATCTTTGAGAAGGTTTCTGTCTTGTGTCTCCTAAGCATCATCCTTTAAAGCCTGATCTTCCATCCAGTAATGTTGCTGTCTGTCAGTGGTTCTACAGGGTTGCATATATATTATAGTTTTAAACCTCAAGTTGGTATGTTAAGAAAAATAAAAATATTCCTTTAAACCAGGCAAAGCATAATGGGCTGACACAAATAAGCTGTAAAAGCTTAACACAGCGACATTCCAATAATAATAATAAAATGCCTTTCTTAAATGTTTCCTGCAAAGGAATAGTTCAACATTTTGGGAATAACCCTTATTTGCTCTTTTTTTTTAGTCACGTTGAAAAAGAACCTGGAGTCAGAAACAGGTTAGCTTAGCATGTCATTCAGATTTGTATCAGCAGGATTAAGCTAGCATGGCAAAGGTCTGAAAATCCACCTACCAACACTTTTAAACCTTACTCTATAAACTAAATATATAGTATGTTAAGTAGTAAGCTGTAGCTGGTCAAGCAGGATTGTTTTAAAACATATGATAGAGCCAGGCTAGCTGCTTCCCTGTCTTAATGCTATTTTAGCGAATTAGCTAAACATGCTAGCTCCACATACCTATCACACAAACATGAGACTTTATTTTTGTTTCAATCTTCTCGTAATATTACAAGATAACTGAAAACAGGTCATTACTAAAACTACCTATGCTCCTCAATGATAATTCCAGTTTTCTTACCAAGCTAACCAATTGCTAACTTTAGCTTCAGATTTACTGTACAGACATGGTATCACAAGATATGAGACTGGTATTATTATTATTATTATTATTATTATTATTATTATTTTTAACCCCAAAATGTTGAGCTATTGCTTTGAAGGTGACGATTTGAGCAGGTTAGCTTAATGCATACAGTCTATAGCCTAATGTTAAACATCCCCTGTGTCACAACAAACTATAGCACCTATGCTACGGCCTCATAAGCCAGACATGCCTTTGTGTCGTCTGGCTTGTGAGGTTTCCCATGCTATCTCTTGCATTAATGACTATTTTTATGAAGAAGTATTTTTCCAGTGTTGGTATTTAAAGTACAGGTTGGCATCCATTTACAATAGAGTCTATCTCCTCGTACAGCAAGCAATGTCGGTGACATATGGAATATATTGGTCCGTGTTACAGAACTATTTAATGTTTCCGAAATGATTCCTTTATTGTTTTCATTATTTTTGTATACAGGCGTATTTTTATTTTATTTATTTATAATTCATTCTGTATGTCAATGTTTACAAAATGATCCCTGGAAGTATCATTTGATTTTTTTTATTTTTTTTAAACGATTTTATTGCTCTGTATCAAAGTTTACACTGAAAGTTATAACATGAAGTGTTTTCATTATTTTGCACAATCATGTAATGGGCCAGTGGGGGTGGGGATAGAATCTGTTAAATTATGTACTTTTTGTCGTCTACCAGAGTGTGTATGATATAGTCCTAAAGGTAGACCTGAGTATTCAGTGTTACTGTAAAGTAAATGCTCATTCGTAGTGTAAATGCTCACCTTTGGTGTTTTGAAAGCATTGAGGGTAAAAAAATAAAAATAAACAAGAGGCCGTGATTATTATACAGGAACTCATTCAACCTCAGTCAGAGTGGACTTGAAAAATAAGAGCACATAGTCTCCCTTTCTGTAAATACTAGTTGTCATGGAGCAAGAAAAAAAAAATCCATTCTACCCTCTATGAGTATTTGAGCTAAGAATATCACTGTCCTTATATCATGTGCTATACTTTGTGACAGGTGTATTCTGTGGTTTAAGAAGTCAAATTGTGGGACAGGCAGTGTGAAAAGAGACCGGCTGCCTTCGACCAACGTTGTCCTCTGTGTGCTCTAACGCTGTATTCAGTTCACTCTTGTGACCATGTCTTATCTGCAAACAGAGCATTCAGTGTATTTGTTCTACTCTGCTGAAGTGTTCAAGTCCCAAAACGCTGTATCATGAGTTTTGAATAAAAAATCTGTCATTTGGTAGATACTGGCATTCTGGTTATTTGTGAGAATAGCAAATCTGTTTAGTGTGTGTTTTGTCCTTTGGCAACGAGTTCTCAATCAAAACTTGCCAGATATCGACGCTTGGTCAGTACCCCTTTACATCTCCTTTTAATGCATATGATACCCCTTAACCATCATTTTTTATCGTGCAGGGTATTATTATGTCCGCCACTTGGTAAGATTTGGGAACTACTTGGTTAGGTTCAAGAAAAGATCATGTTTTGGATTAGAATAAGTATTTATATGTAAAGTTTGAGTTTTGAATTGAATTGTGACACAAACAGTGGTATCTTGGGTAAAAGTTCATTTTTTGTTTGACCTCCCTCCCCAGACTTTTTTGCTTTTCATACTAGTACTTTTACTTTTACTAGTACATGAGGTGTCATAGTTTGACGCATAGGGCCACTGACCAAGCTGCATTATTTGACAAGTTGAAGCATATAATTGTGTAATGCTTTAATTTGTGTTTTTCGACCACTTTTCTCAACAGCTTCTCACTTCCTTTCACTTTTCTCTGTCTCTTTTCTGGTATTTTTTCTGTGCATTACTAACCAGTTTTGGTTTGTCTCTGATGCTGTAACTTTCCAATATGGAAATTCTATACTGACTCACCTCACTACAAGGTGAGACGTTATAATGTACCAATTGTTGAGTGCTTTTCTGTTTTGAAACAGAGCCGCAAAAGGAAAAAGGGCTGCATATGATCATCCCTGGTGATAAGAAAGTCCTGCTGGAGGGTCCTAGTCGCAACGGACAAAGTACAGCAGAAGAAAAGTAAGATAATATACAGATCTATTTCGATCGCTTCACCTTTGGCCTGAATGACGCAATTGACATATTGTAAATGCTATGTGAAGCCTATTCCTTTTTAACTGAAGACTTTAAAAAAGGTTCTCAGATTATAACTTAATTTTAAAAAGCCTAAAATTGTTTAAAACATTACTCAGACAGGAGTAAATGGATAATTTTTTGGGACCATTTTCAGCTACAGATAAAGTGACTTTAAGCCAATTGTTTAATGTCAGCTGCAACCCCTATTATCTTGATTATGGGTAACTAACAACTGTATTTACCGGTACCTGCTTTGAGCTGGAGGATAGGCTCACATTTCTTCAAGAGTCTCTTAAAACCGCCCTCAGATGCCGATATCAGCAATGACACAGATTGATTTAATGCTTCCTGTCATCCGTACTGGCTGTGAAGTGATCCATTCCTTATGTGAATCAAATGATAAGACCAACCATTGCTTTAAGATTGACTCAAGTTCAAATGTGAATCTATCCTTTAGTAACCAGCCATGTGTATTAATAATGCTAAACTGTAAATGTTTATCATCATAAAGGGGCCTGGTGGATGTGGTGTACGCCCTGAGGGATGAGGTTCGAGAGCTGAAACAGGTAAATGTTTATGAATTAGATGTTTTACAAAAATACCATGATCGTGTGATTTATCTAATATATGACTTTCAGAAGTTCAAATGACCTGGCTAAACTCCAGGTCTGAAGTTGTTAGCTGTTAAGACTTTACGCAGCAAAAAAAAATGCTATTTATATTACCCTTTCATTGTGAAATGGGTGTTTTTCATTCTTTTGCAGCATAGGAACTTTGAAAAACCTCATATTATTTGAGCTCATGACAACAATGATATGCTTCCTTTACCTCCCAGGATAACAAGAAGGTGAAGAGGTCACTGGAGGAGGAGCAAAGAGCACGAAAGGATTTGGAAAAAGTTGTGAGGAGGGTTTTAAAGAGCATGAACGACCCGACATGGGATGAGACAAACCTCTGAGGACCGTGTGCACCATCTGCAGCTGAAGCTTTAAAAGAAAAAAGAAAGAATGAGCATGTATGTGTGAGCTTGCTTGCACTGTGTGTGTAAAATGCAAACAATCGCACACCTAATGTATGGTCGGTTGTGTGACTGAGAGGATAAGGAGTGACTCTGTAAGCTGGTAATTATAAGAGGAGTGTGGGTTACTACCACTCTGGTTAAGAGACAGGAACCACAATGCTGAACAAGCTCTATTCCACTAAAACATTTCTCAATGACCAAGCAAGATGGTGAGGAGATTATACACTTAACCCACTTCCATCGTCGACTATTGGAGGGGAGTGCTCCTCTTCTGTTTACAATCATATAACTGGACGCTGTCCAATGGTACTTTAATTGTTTTAATGGTCACAAAAGCCTTAGAAAAGTCTGAAATTGAACCATGACATTTGATAACCTCTATTATGTTATTTAATTTTGTATGAATTGATTTTTGTTCCGTCTTATCCTGACACATGCTTACTCTTGTGTTTAGCACAAAGTTAATCATCTGCCAGGAAACTTAGCTTTTTTGTCTGTTTGAATTTGTGCCTCGTTTTTGGACCTTTTTATTGTTTTGACCACTTTGCTGTTTGACTTTCTTTCTAGGGATCCTAGGGAATTGTACAGATGTTGAACGTGTACTGTATAATGTAAATACTGCTAAAAGATGAGCCTTTGTACTTTGGGAGAAATAAATGGTTTTTTTAAAGACTGACTTTGAATTTTTTTCTCCTTGTTACACACCCACACACACAGAATTGCACACTTTTATTTTATTATATTTCATCTTATTTATCATTTATACTTTCAAAAGCATCAAGCTAAAGTTGTGTTCAAAGAAATTGCCTCGAACCAATTGACACACAGAAAACCTAGGACCAAGTACACAATTATAGGAGTACTTGGGTTTTTCTTGATGTCTACAATTTCGCGATGCCCCCTAGTTCAACCTTATTCTCGCTTCCAATCCATTTGGTGGTCTCAGGCACCATTTGTCTGAGGAGGTTTACAAGGTGTTTCAAAAATATTTTCAGCAAGATTAATAAATCCCACCCAAGATTTGTTGAAAGAGGACAGTTAGTAGAATAATAGTTTTAAATAATTGTCCCACGGCTGCTGGAAATAAATAAGAAACAATTGTGGAGCTCTTAATGTAAAAGCATTCAGTTCTCAAATATTCAATAAAGTATTATGTTCAAAAAGCAGACCTAATTGATCCCGCTCTTTAGGCAACATATCTGCTATTTATCACACTGTCAAATTGAAAACATTGATTTCAAAATGAATGAACATTATGAATGAAAGAATAGTGGAATCACGTTGCTATGACATTACTAAGTATGCCAACAGTTTAGAATTCCCATTCAACAGTTGCAAGGGAAACCAGTAAATCCAAGTAATTTCATCTGGCAATGATCTGGTAAGTAGGGTTTGACTTCCCAAAGTATTTGGAATGCTACCGTGCTGATGATGGAAAAAAAATCTAATGGTTCTATTTTCTTATTTATTAACTTTTTGACCAAACTGTTGGTTATGCTCCGCAGGTTGTGAACTAGTTTACACCGAACAACTCATATTGTGTCACTCCGCCAACACTTGCTACGCTACAAGTGTTCAACGCACCCTTTGCAAAAAGGCGGTCTGTTTGAACGGTTTCCGTCTGCCATCTTGCTGCAACACTGTTTTACAAGCTAGCTGTAGCTAGTTCTGCTGCTCATTTAGCACATTTTCCACAAGTGAGCCTGTTTAGAGGCATGTTTATTTCGTGCTTTAGCTACCATTTGAGGACTTATAAAGGATGCATTGAGTAGTTCGTGTTTTTCCATGCTCTAAACTGGAACGAAAGTGGGATTTCAACTTCTTCACTTAGGTGAGTATTGTAAGGTAAGTGCTGCTGGTTCAAACACATGCTGTTTATCGTACAGTTTTTGTACTTGGCAATGACTGTAAAACATGAAACTAGCTAGTTTACACTGCTGTAGGCATTCTGTTGGGGACTTGTTGTTTATCAACACTACTAAAAAGTTCAAGCAATTGTTCGTTTTTTAGGGATGCAACTGAACAAGCTTTTAGTAAACATTGACATTATCAATTTATAGGTATTTGAATAACATAGGAACCAGGTTGCAGGGCGTAGCTTCCTCTAAAGGCCTTTGCAATGCTGTACTTTTCCCACAGAAGCCACACACTTTTGTTTATTAGAGGTCTCTACACACTGATAAATAACCATTAGCTCTAATAATGCTGCAATGAATGATAAAAGAAATGCACTCTATCAAATGGAAATCTAATGTCTTATCATTTGTTAAAATGCCTGGTGGTCTGCAGTGCGGCTGGCATAACTTCTGTGGATAATGTGTGTAATGTGATTGATCTGGACATGAGCAGGTTGTTTCTTATGTATCATAGTTCAGAGCATTGTTGCTTTACTTCGTTTTACAACGTGCTTGTACTACGATTTATTAGTGTGCTTGGATTTGCTGTCATATTGGCAATTCTCTGTGACCAATGGGGTTGGTGCTCACTACTGACCCTCACCTCCTGACCACACATGATGTTCACTATCAAACTTTTCTTAGTAACTTAATATTTGATGTCAGAGGCAGTGATAACTGATTAAGCGTATTGCTCATATAACATTTTGAGTCCCACCTTGTCGGCAGTGATTTTCTCTCAGAAAGTTTCTCAGCACCCTATTTCTGCTATGTTGAAAGTGGTTTATGTAGTGAGGAGATCAGAGGACTTAGATCAGTTGGCTGACTGAACTAAAGTTGAAAACATTCCAAATGACACAGGGTGTTATTTTGATACGAAAGCCTTACAAACTTGCATAAAAAAGGTTTGCATTGCAATGATATTGATTGCATCTTATTGTTGACCCAACCAAATATCATTTATTGTTTGTGTATGCATGCAATGTCCTTTTGAAAGGACCGGCCTATTGAAATCTTTTGTGTACCCTGACAATTGCGACTTGCTTTGTGGGGGAGAGGATCCCATTCTGCTGCTGTGGGATGAATAAGCACAGATGTCAACCTTTTCACTGTGACGCTCACCTTGTCCACTCATTAGTAATGAAAACAGTTGCCTTTTGTTTTTCGTTGAATATTACTCCAGGGCAACAAAAGGCACAATTCACATTCATCCTGTGAAGCAGATCTAGGCAGATAAAGGCAGGCCAGCGCTGTCTGCTCTGACCTTGGTGGCCTGACTCTCTCTGGGTTTAGCTGGCCGACTGCCACTCAGGTTCCAACAATGAAAAGAGCCACTGCCTTGATTTATCTGTGTCCCCTTGCTAACTTCCAGGTGGAGGCACATTAGTATGTTGTTATAACTTTTCTACTTTCACTTTCCCGGGATAAGAGCCTTTCGTCTTCCTGTCAAGTGTCTGGTTGGTGGGAAAGTGGTGAATTGAAGAGGCAGACGTATTATCCGGCTTCTGACCTGCCCCAGCCCCTCTCCACTGTCCCTGCCTCTTTCTTCGTGGCGGGATGGAGTGACAGCTTGTCACTGTGGGAGCGCCACAATACGGCTCAGACTCCCTGACTATTGTGGAGCTCAGAAAAAGCATCAAGGTCTTCCTCTCTCTTCCGTTCACTCTTTTCAAAGCAGGGAATCAATCAGCTGTACACACACACGCATGCATACACACGACTCACTTCTTTTCCCTTCCATCTGTCTATTGAGCAGCCAGTGATCATTTAGACTTGACATGTATTGTGAAAAACTGAGCAGCTCTGCCTCTTTCTTCTTCTTTTTCTTTCACTCCCTTTCTCTTTCAACTGTCTGTCATTAATGTCCAGGTCTTACAATACACGAACAGAGGAGAAGAAGAAAGCGAAGAGTGAGGGATGAATTGATGGATGGGAGGATAAGCACTCAGTGTCCTTTCTTTAAAGATTTGTTATTGTACAGTACTGTCTCCCAGTCATTTTTGGTTGGTGTTTCAGTCTGAAAGCCCATCCACGTGCTCTTTTGTATGGGAAAGCAATAAGGCCCCATTGAATGAAGCTGAATGGACCTGCCATCCTTAGGGGCTGAGGCCTGAGGACTCCTATTCTTTAGCCCCCAATCTAATTGGAGCTGAAATGAAATGGAGGTTTCTTATGAAAATAGGCTTTGTTTGGCCGCAAGGCTGGTAATTCATAAACAATAAGCAGGGCCCCATTGTGTAGATAATAATATATTCATGCTGCTGGAGATGGGGAGAAGGCAAAGCGAAGGCTGAGGATATATAAGGAGGATAGGCAGAGACAGGGATGGAGAGTGGAGGGGTAAGGGGAAGGGGAGGAGGAACAGTAGTGGCTAATAGCAAATAGGGGGTCAGAGAAAATTGGTAATGGTTGGGTAGAGGCAGAGGACTTATTAGAGGAAGTGGAGGGACTCAAAGTGGCTGGGAGTGAAAACTGAGTGGGAAAATGACGAGGATAGGCGAGATATACAAGATAGGAATCAGGCGGGAGATTGGGAAATGGCTGTGAGTACTTTGAAGCCTACAGGTGACTGGTTTGGCAGCGGTGGGGGGAGATGGCAAGTGAATGAGAGCATAACAAAAATGGAATAGGTTGCACAGTGCAAATCTGTGAGGTTGAGAGCGGTGGAGATGATGGAGTGGATTGGTCAAGTGCAGGGATGGAGCAGAGCAAAGCAGTCAGTGTCTAACAGGCGAGGGGGGGAGAGAGCACAGCAGTGTGTGTGCAGCGGTGGACCACTGACAGGAGGGCTTTCGATGCCTGAAAACACGATGGGTGGATGAGCGGAAACAGGTGAGCTCTCATGCCACTTTGATGCATCGGTTTTCTGGATGATCTCTCACTGTTATCGTCTGTAATCGTACAGGTCAACGCTGCTTCTGTGGGATCATCAGCTGAGTCTTGGAGAAGTGACTTTCTCTGTCGGACATTTTCAAACGGGGAAACAAAAGTGCTGTGTGGAGTGACGGACTGACTGAGGGGGACCCTGCTTCCTGTCAGCTCTGAGCCGCTACCCTTCCTCTTAAATGCTTTTCACCATTTTCTTGGGAAGTGAATATAGACTGTAGGACTGGAGACACACGTTCCTCTGGATTCTTTGGGAAACCTTGACTTCTTCAGCCTTTTTGTCTTCTTTTTGTCTTCAAACAATATATCCTGGACAGAGTTTTGTGACAGTGGAGGGGGAGGATGTTGTGGACATGATTGCAAAACTGATAATGTAAACACGTCTGAGTTGATGTTACTGCCTTAAGAGATAGATGTCATAACTAATGGTGAGTAAACCTGAAATGGCACTTTGTTTCGGTGGACTTTAACTGAGTGTGTGTGAGTGTGTCAGGAGAGTTTGCATGCTGCTGCACCAACAGGAACAGCATTTGTGCAATGTCAAGGTTACAAAGTAATCAACTTAGTTTATCACTACCAATTCTTATATCAAAGTTATTCTGTAAACACTTTGTGAAGCTTCTCAGCAGTGAAGGAGTCTCTAAAGTATGCAAAGTCATGAACGTGGCAGGCTTTATATACAAAAAGTGACAATTCTTTAACACTGCAGTTGTGTTATTACATTTTTCAATACAACTCTAACATATTATGTGTGCGCCCGTACGCTTGTAGCCTTAAACTGCTTGACTGAAGATGTCAAATTAAGTTCATCGGAGAATTACTTGTTTATAACTTGTATATATAATTAGTCTAGTGCAATTAGTAGTCTGGTGCTACAGAAGAGTTAACG